CACACCTTTGTCATAGAGGACAGGCTAAGCATGTCTGCACACCTCTGTCATAGAAGACAGGCTAGAGCCAATTTGTACTTCAATATGATATTCTTTACTAATTATAGGTGTCCTGTTGAGAAATGTCTACAATATAGTCTGAACTGTATGTTTGAAGGTGCTAGGCCTGAATCCCTGTTTCTGACACCACGTTATCTAACCTTTCTGAATGTACCTCCCACCCTTTCCCTCAACACAGCTATGTGCCCATATCACATTCTACAAAAGTCAGTGTCCTCACCCATGAGTCCTCACTGAGCTTGCCGAGGTTATGCCAGAATAAAAGTTAAATGTTTGATCCTGTAAGTGATGTGTTTTTCACTTTAAATATATTCTTAGTGCAATAATAGACCTATAGATCATGGTGTTTAGTCACTCATAGATATATTCTCTTATTTTCTCCTAGCTATATAAATTTTCTGTGGTTCAATATTTCTGGAGATAAGCTCTCTCTGAGCCAGCATGCTGAAGAACTCCCGTCAGTTAACCCATTTCATTTTACATAGTTCCTCCTGAGGGATTAGCTGAAATATGCACCCCTACTTTCTTCACCTATAAGCTATTGCTGTCTGTCACATCCATTACTATTCATGAAAACGAGTGTGTAGTTAGCTTTACAACTCTCAGATAATTGTAGATACTGTCTGTGTCACTGAGACCACAGCTGCAAATAACAAATGTTACATGACATGCACCATGAGGCAGACAATCCAAAGTGGTGGTAGGCCCGAAATCAACTAGAGTTACGAGATTTCATCAGGATCCTGGTCCTTCCTGTCTGTCTGTCTGCCATGTCACGTATACTGCTGCTCATAAGCATTAGCTCTGAAGTGAACACACACACACTATTCTGCCTGAGATATCTTCTTAGAATGAGCCTTATCCAGATACTCCCAGAAACCCTCTGTCTCTCATAAATAAAAACATGAGGACCATTTAGCAATGATAAGGGGCTTCTCCAGCACACATAAGACCCCAAATTCAATCTCTAGTATTGCAGAATAAAAAAAAAAAACTACCCCAGAAAAGGGAGGACTTGCAGTGAGGAAATAACCAAGTTCTGAATAGAGAGAAAAGCAATTTACTAACTAGTAGACATTTGAAGTATCATCTTCCTAATTACAAAAAAAGAATAAAACAAGTGTAGTTAGTTAGAAGCAAGCCTGAAAAAAAAAAAAAAACAGTGAGGTGCTCCACTTAGAAACCTCAGCTGTGAAAATCACCTGAGTAGGTACAATGTAAGCTTAGGCAGTAAAGCTTTCCTCTTTAAGTATATTTGGAAGGGTTAACAAAAACTAATAGGCACACCACCAAGAGGTGAGGAGACCACCACACACACATTTAAAATCAAAGAAAATGAGATTTAAGAAAGGTTGAAGACAGATGCCTGTCTTTGTAATGTCTTATGGACGGCCCTGGTTCTTTGCATTGCATGTATGTGTAAATTAGGTAGGTTTAAGATGTATTGAAATGGGACTGGAGAGATGGCTCAGTGGTTAAGAGCACTGACTGCCCTTCCAAAGGTCCTGAGTTCAGTTCCCAGCAACCACATGGTGGTTCACAATCATCTGTAATAGGATCCAGTGCCCTCATCTGATGTGTCTGAAGAGATACATTAAATAAATAAATCTTAAAAAACAAAAGATATATTTACACAGCGTTGCAGTGTAGGAAGATAGCTGAGTGGATGGGTGAAGAACCTCTCTAGTGAGTTTCCACATTATACCTGTGGTTAACTCAAAAATGGGTCACCTAGATAGGCACTTGATCAGTGAATGTCTGACAAAAGTCATTAGAAATTAGGAACTGGCTTCTTAAAGCAGTAAGAGTTGTTCTGACATTGGACACTCTGTCTTCTCCCTTACTCAGAACTCTCCCAGATCCTGCTCTGTGACCTCAATCTTCATTTTGGTCAGCCTAAGAAGACGGAGGACCCCAAAGAGGCAGAAGCAAGCCACCCATTTGAGGAGCCTGAGATTCCAGATGTAGCACTTGCTGCCATCAGATTATCTGACTGAAGAGTGTGTGTGTTTGTGTGTGTGTGTCTGTTTTGAATTTCTGGGTTTTATTGACTTAAAATTCTGAAAGAACTAAGTTTAGTAATATAATTTAAAGCAGTAGTAAATTATAAGTAAGCCTCTCATCTCGAAGGCTGTTTTTTGTTTGTTTGTTTGCTTGCTTGTTTTACTGACTCAAAGAGAAATTGATGCCATTGATGCTGGGAATCGGCCTGTCTGTGTTTGCTGTGCTGTACACAGGCTTCCTCTATGTGCTGATAGAAGGTGGTACCGAAGCAGCACACAGCTTTGCCTTTGGGGACCCAAAATGGACTGATTGTCTGTTTGAGAGAGGGACCCTGAGTGGCCTAACTTTTGTAGTATGTTAATCTGTGAGCAAAGAGCTGAGCAGTGACCTCCAGCTGGGGTCATTGGCTCATGACTCATAGGCAAGGCTCCAGCAGAACAACAGAATTGAAAGTACTCAAAGAAAGCATACATGTTGCTAGTCATGAAAACAGAGACTCCCATGATTGCAGCCACAGCAGTGCAGAGAACACCTTACCACAAGCCTCATTTTTGCCCCTTTGCCCTCAGAGATTCAAATACATTTTGTCTCCTGTCATCTACTGCTCCTTTTCTTGGTGCTGTGAGAAACACCTGGTAAGAATCAACTTAAGAGAAGAAGGGCTGGTTTTGGGGTTTATTCTGAGGAAATACAGTCCTCAGATCTTGGCAGGGAAAGGAAAGTAGACATTGAGAGTGTGTCTTTCATCCTCAGTTAAACTTCTCTGAAAACATCCTCACAACATACCCTTGAGTGACTCTAAAACCCACATGAGTTGACAATCTTAACCATCGTAACTACCAATAGATGCTTTGAGATCTACCATGTCCTTAATTTTGATTACCATTAAATATAAAAATAGAGTGCTGTAAAGCAAGCCACAAGTTGAGCTTATTCTGTCATAGAACCCGAGTATCCTGCTACCCTCTCCTCAGGACCTAGCTCAGTATTTCACATAGTGCAGATGCTGTAAATTCCTGTCGAACATCCTCCTGAGAAAGCATAATACAGGCCTTTCAGCTTTCTGATTTCCAAGTGCTGGATCCTCAACTAAAAACTCTGGGTCTGTAAGGGCAGAGTTTTACAGAACAACATTATTATTGTCATTGGCTAAGTGCTTCCATATGACCTACTCCTTACCTTCAGTATTAACCTGGTCCCTTTAAAATAGAAAAAAAATGTTTTTTAACTCATGGAAATAAAAGTATAGAATAGTCTTCCTACTTGAAAATTGTGTAGATCAGAAATCAAACTTTCGTCAATAAAAGTCACACAACAATGCCAGGCATCCCACGAGAATGAGACTGGAAGAACAAGGAACACCAGTGTCCGGTGTGTGCCAGGTTCATGTTGCTAAGTGTGAACAGTACTGCAAATTATCTTCTACACTGATGACTTCTTGAGAAAGCTTACAGTGGGGAGGGGAAATTCTGTGAATTGAAAATTCCTTTACTGTACATAACCTATTGAACGTCAGAGCTCAGTCTAGCCGGCCTTAAACATGCCTGGACCATGCACATTAACCTGCGGTTGGGCTGAGTCCCCAACACAAACTCTTATTTTCTCTTAATACTGAATATATTGTTTAGTTTATGGAGTGCTCACAGTGCACCTCCAAAAGAAAAAGCCACCTGCAACATATAACATGTAAAGTCCTGATGGGTACCCTGGTGATCACATGGCCTGCCAACACATTTATACTTCATACCAGCTGCTGCTAGCCCAGGCAAAGCAAAATTCAAACTTTGAAGTACAGCTAATACTTAACAGGCATCACTTCCACACCATCATAGAGTCAAAAATGGCGGGTTAAACCAGCATACACCAGAACTCCATCTGTACTTTTTGTTAAATGTGATTTCAAAACTGAAGGAGATTGGAGGTCCTTTGAAGGGTTTAAAAACCAATCGGAGAGGGACAAGACAGCAGTTTCACAACACACTGGTTGGATTAATAAAACAGAAAACTAGAGCAGAGGTTTGGATAAGTATTCTCCAAAGGTGTGTGTGTTAGAGGCTTGGCCCTGCACCGGGGTAGCCCTGGGCAGTGGAGGAATCTTAGGAGATGAAGTCCAGGAAGATGAAGTTAGGTCAGCAGGTGCAAGACCTAGAGGGAAATTTGCTTCTTACACTTTCTCTTTGTTTCCCAGCCACCAGGAGGTGAACAGATGTCCTCACATTCTCACTTCAATATCCTATATGAACTGTCACAGGCCCAAAGGAACAGGAACAGGTGACATCCAAGCAAAAGTCAAACTTTCTAACTGAAGGCTAGATAATACAAGTAGCATCTATTAGGAAGTGTGTGTGTGTGTGTGTGTGTGTGTGTGTGTGTGTGTGTACAAAGCATTTCTCATCTTCCCAGGAGAACTTCAATACTAGAAAAGGCTTTTCAAGGTAGGAGTGGAGGGAGCCCACTGTGGATGTAGACATGGGGGACTATGATAGAGAAGCAACAGGAACCCCAAGCATGGTCTACAGCAAAGCTACATCACTGAACCTAAGACTATTTTCTTCTTGTAAGTTCAGAAATGTAGCTTACATTTGCTTTAAAACAAAAATATAAAAGCAAGAACCAAACAGAGTTGTCTTAAGGATCTAAAAGAGTAAAGCAAATGATAACTTTAATCTCAGGAAGTTATCCCAACATGTATTAATCTCATTATGAAAAGGAACACATGTAGCTGGGCAGTGGTGGCGCACGCCTTTAATCCCAGCACTTGGGAGGCAGAGGCAGGCGGATTTCTGAGTTCGAGGCCAGCCTGGTCTACAGAGTGAGTTCCAGGACAGCCAGGGCTACACAGAGAAATCCTGTCTCAAAAAGAAAAAAAAAAGTTTGTGCCATGAAAAGGAACACATAAAAACACACCCTGTAAAACCAAATAAGAAACAATAGAGTTCTATTTTTGGAGTCTCTTAAGTTATTGCTGCTCCGAAAATGAATTTTAATCATTTTAAGTTGTGTAAAAAACAGATTGTGCCTCGGCCTGACCAGACTTTCATTATAAAATCTATCAAAAGCCATCAGTGCTTTTAAAACTTGTTCTGCATTATTTCTGTACTAGATCCAGTGCTGTATTTTGAGGCGGATTTTCAAAATGTCATGTCTGCCGTGCACTCTTAGACTTCAAACGTGAACATGATCACTTTTATACTCTACAAACATCAAAGAAAATAAATAAATTGTGTGGTATTCGACAATCTTCAGATACTTTAAAGGACAGGGCAGAACTCGAGGCCCACATCAACAGTCTGCTTTAGTCCTAAGTGTTCAGCCATTTGCTAAGATCATGTGATCTTGTCACATTGATGACAGAGTCAGGAAGGCTCATCTCTTGGCTAACTTGCTACGGATAGCCTGCAGCGTGTGTTAGTGTGCACTGGTATCTGGAGCCTCGATTTTTCCCATCAATGAGCAACAGTGGCATTTTCCTGAAGTAGTCAATAATGTCCGATACAGACAGGAAGTCCTGGAAAAGTCAAATGGGGAGATAAGTTAGCAGTGGAATGGACAGTATGCATTTCATAATTATGTTTTTTCTTTAAACTGCATCAATTTGGGGAAATTAAGGGAAGAGTAAAATTTGTAAGGTATTTTAGAGTTTTTCTCCTCAATAGCCAACCAGCTGTAAGTAATAGATAGAAGTGTTAAGTTGGGCCAGAGAGGTGACTCAGTGGTTAAAGGCCTGATGACCTCAAGTCAATGCCCACAACCACATGGAGGAAGGACAGAACTTATATCTATATGTTGTACTCTTATCTCCACATATGTGCCATGGTGCACACAAAAGTTTTTTAGAAATAAAAAATGCTAACTCCTGTAGTGGCTCATTTACCCCAAATATTTCTATCATGATACCTGGTGGCTTAGTATTGGTCTCTGGTTTTTATTTCTTGAGTTTCTGAGTCCCCATGTCACCATAATCCAAACTATTAGGTGTAAGGAACCAGGAAGTCACATGGGTCATTCCTAGAGGTGAAGCCTTAGTACAGTGTAACCATTCCTTCCTTGTCACCTCTACACTCCATAACCTGGACCACCCAGTCTAGGGAGATTGGTCCCATTCATCCCCCTAGGTGTGATCAGAAGTCAAGTACCTAAGAAGGACTGTGTACTTGTTCTAGGACAAACTGCCCAGGTACCATCCTCCAAAGAAACTGGTATTTTCATGTTAGACCAAGAGAAATGTTGAAAGGTGACACTGCCTCTGGAGAGACTATGAAGCTCTGTCCATGGGGAGTAAGTGACCCAGACTTTTGACCAAAATTATGTTCCTTCCACTCAGCATTGCCACTGATGGAAAGTATCTGGATTGAAGTCATCAGTGAATTGTTCTCATTCTGTGGATATTTCATTCAGCTGGGTTTCTATGTGTAACCTTAGAAAATGTCTTAAGACATTACGTTTGTTAGTTTCCTCTACAAAAGCAGCCTAGTGGTTATCTTCACATCAAGAAATTGACTTGGCCAAAGAAGAGCATTTCTTTGGTAATATGGCTGGCCATCTTCACAGAGCCAAATGTCTCAGGTTAGCAAGAAATGTCCCACTTATCTCAATACTCACTAGACTAGATTTCTCTGCTTTCCCATATGGGATTTTAAATTAAAAGTTTTGTTATTGATGTGTGTGTGTGTGTGTGTGTGTGTGTGTGTGTGTGTGTGTGTTTGTCTGTAAATTCACTGTGTGCATGCAGGTGCCCACAGTAGCCAGAAGAGGGCACCAGATACCCTGGAACTGGACTTACAAGAGGTTGTGAGCCATCCAGTGTGGATCCTGGGACCAGAACCCCAATCTTCAACAAGAGTAGTAAGTGCTCTTAATTCTGAACCACCTCTCCAGCCCATCGGATGGTACTTTAAATAATATTTTATAGGGATAACATAATCTTACATTGAAATTATGTCAAAAGAAATCAAAATATAATATACTACCTTTGACACTCCCTGTGTATTTTAATGTGTATTTTTATTTTTATTTAAAGTGTATTTTAATGATTATTTTTTAATTATAATTTTAAAATTTAGACTTTGGGACCAGAGATAAAGTTCAGTGCTTGCACCTGACTGGTGTGCACAAGGACCTTGGTTCCTTCCTAAGCACCACAGATTACTCCTATGATGTTGGGTTATTTAGAATGAAAATCCAAGAAAGACACTAGTCAAGGGTAGTACTTTTCTTCTTTCCTTCCTCCTTCAACAGAAGCCTCGATAACATTGTTTAACAGCATAGTTGCCAAAGAGCATGTAATTCAACTGCATAGCTGCCATACGGTATGGGATTTGGGCAACAAGTGAAGATTGGAGTCCTTACCTCTTTTCCTCGAAGTCCCGTGCCTAACAAGTAGACTTGACTTTCCTCCTGGTAACGGATCTGGATGTTGTACACTTTGTCTTTGTACAACACCATGAGGACATATGGATTGTTTATTGTCTTCTTAGAGCTGTCTCTAACCAGGAAGGTGCCATCCTAAAGGAACGAGTGCTTGCTATTAATGGGGGCAATGAAAGTCAGTCCTGTACTGTGTTAGAAACAAGCCTCTAGGGACCTGCAAAGCTGTCACTGTATCTGGTGACATTGAGTTCTCCTCATAGCTGGGAATCCCAGGTACCTGGATCTTTTGATTATTCAAAAAAGACAACTGAGATATATCTGAACCTTTTGAGTTAATGTCTTTGAAGTGTCTTAACATAAAGTACTTTTTCAGTAATAAAAACCAACGATCAGTAAGTAAGTGGATGAAGGGCCATAAGAAATAAGGTGGCGCACTTCCTGTGTACCTACTCACGTCTGTTGATTGGCTAGCCTTCCCTTTTCACATTCCCATGCAGAACACAACATTTGACTGTAAGATGGACACCCCTTTACCCCACCCCTGTACAACAGTGAATATGGACTTTCTATATTCTTGTTCCCCTTCCCCCCTGGTACTTCCAGAGCATGTGATTTGTTCTGTTCTCTAAATTTTCAAACAAGAATAACTGCAAGGTAATGTAGCATGACAAAGACCTAATATTAAAATAGAGCTAATTAGTAAGACCATGTAAATCACTCCTTCCTCTATGTACTTAATTAGAACAGGTTTTAAATAGCTATCAATATTCAATAACAACATTCCTTTTCTCCTTTTGTTCCGAGTTAATTGAGCCAGTCAGAACGTAACTAGTAAAAGAACTTCCCACTGGACCTGTAAATCAGAGGTTTGGCTTGAATTCAGAGTCACCTGGAGAGTCTGAAGACTCCCTCGGCCCACACTGCACTCCCACTTATAAAAAAAAAAGAAAAAAAAAACCTCTCCTCCAGGTGATCAAATCTGCTGAGAAGACTGAAATGGTTGCTGTAGCTTTAACAGTGTGAAAGATGAAGAGTTAATGTTCTCCCATCTCTGATCAAGAGACAAGGTTATGGGTCAGTACTGGACCTGCTTAAGACTTTATCATTTCAAAAGACTAGCTAGAAATTTCTGGAAGGCTTTGCAGCTATGCCTTTAACATGAGTCTTTCTCGTGAACTTGGGTGATAACTCAGTGTTAAGAGGAAGATGAACTAATAAGATTTCTGAAATGTTACATGATTTGTTTGACAACCCCTCAAAAGAGATACATCATTCATTAATTCATTCATGAAACTGGCTAATATGTGCCAATGGATACATGATTACTCTAATTTAGGATTTTTGCTAAACAAGTAATGGCTGCTCAGAGAAAGAGTTCTATGGATGCTAGAGGATAGGATGGTAGCACTTATGGGTCTTAAAGGAACAGTGCCTGACAGTGGGAACACTGGCTGGCTCACACTTGAGACCCAGTGAGTCAACAGCCTTTCTCTCCCTCCACTAGTATTGATAACTGCATGACAATAAATGGTAGAACAGTACCTGGTTTATCTTCCTAAGAGCAGCTTCTGCCTCTGGTCGGGTGATATAAGAAACGTACCACTCTTCATTTAAGGGAGTCTACAAATAAGAAAAATTTTAAAAGCACTTTAAGTTCTGTAGTTATATAAACAAAGAGAAAAGGAACAAAAAACAACTAATAATTCCCATAAGTCACCACCTCAGTTCTCTGAGGTTTGAAAGAATTGTTTTCTTAACCAGAATCACTTAGAAGGGCTACACGGAAGGCATTTTGTGTGAACTGCTTCCTTTGATGCCACTGACTGCAAAGGCATTTGTGAAGGAGCCGCTTATATAGTGGAACCTTTCATTCCGCTTATTATATCACAGGAACATACTTAGTGAAAAAATCTGTCCTACTGGAGCAGCTAAGAGACTTTCTTTTTCAAGGCTATAAACCAAGAAACAGATAGAAAAAAATGGGATTATGTTTCTCATTTCTTAATGCCTCTGGAAAGCTGTAAGAGAACAGGAAAGGAAACATTAGTTCTTATCTATTCCCTTTAGTTTTGGTTTATTGTGTGTGATGCAGGGATCCAGGACGGGGCCTCACACACTCCCAGGCAAGGGTCTGACCGATGAGCGACACAGATGCTCTTTTAATTAAAAGGCAACAACAAAACTCTAACAGAAGACACAGATACAGCAGAACAGCCAACTAGTGTTTCTTAAAGTCCCTGTGCTAGAAAAAAGGCAAACTAATTAGAAACAGCTGTATACCTCTTCTTCCCCAGGAGATGGAGGCTGAGGCCTGTTTGGAACCGGCAAAGGTAAGTTTCTGACTTCACTTCTGAGAGGTGGCCTGTTGCTGGGACCTTTGAAGCAAAGTATTTTGAAGATTAATTTACAATCAGCCATTGTTTTCATGTCTCATAAAGTATCCATCACAGATGTCTCCATAAAGTCATTCATTTTTCAAGAATAAGAGGTTGGAAAATTAATTTCTGTCTCTTTAAAGCTACAAGGGCTGCTTGGGCAGTGTTCTGTACCATGCTGTGGAAACTTGGAGAGAAGAGACCTCAACATTTCAGTGATCCCCTAAACATGCAAACAATATCATGTGATCCCCTAAACATGCAAACAATATCATGTGATCCCCTAAACATGCATACACTATCATGTGTGCCCCTAAACATGGATATAAAATCATGTGGATCCTTAAACATGCCTACATCAATGTGGGCCCCTAAACATGCATACATCATCATGTGATCCCCCTAACATGCATACATCATCGTGTGATCCCCTAAACATGCATACATCATCACGTGATCCCCTAAACATGCATACATCATCATGTGATCCCCTTAACATGCATACATCATCATGTGATCCCCTTAACATGCACACATCATCGTGTGATCCCCTTAACATGCATACATCATCGTGTGATCCCCTTAACATGCAAACATCATCGTGTGATCCCCTTAACATGCACACATCATCATGTGATCCCCTTAACATGCATACATCATCATGTGATCCCCTTAACATGCACACATCATCATGTGATCCCCTAAACATGCACACATCATCATGTGATCCCCTTAACATGCATACATCATCGTGTGATCCCCTTAACATGCATACAACATCATGTGATCCCCTTAACATGCATACATCATCATGTGATCCCCTAAACATGCATACATCATCATGTGATCCCCTTAACATGCATACATCATCGTGTGATCCCCTTAACATGCACACATCATCATGTGATCCCCTAAACATGCATACATCATCGTGTGATCCCCTAAACATGCATACAACATCACATGATCCCCTTAACATGCAAACATCATCACGTGGGCCTGAATTTAAGAACAGCTACAGTTGTTTTACTGTGTGCCTCAGTAAGAACCTGCAAGAAGCAGACCCTTCGTAGCCTGCCATACCAGCGTACATGGACACTTTCCCAACAGCTTGCATTGGCAGCAGTGAAGAGATAATTATGCTCTCAGTTCACAGAGAGAAAGGAAGTGCTTTGAGACTAGTGTTAGGTTTAGAGCCAATGTTTGCTGAGATTTTTCTGTTTGTTTTGATTCTGCAGCTTCCTAAGATATAGAACTGTTGGCTTAAAGGACAAACTATCTGCTCAGCCAGGAGCTTGACCCAGAGCCTATGCTTCCTTTATTCTAAGATCCTCTGTTCTTGCATAGAGTTAACTTAAAGTTTAGAGGAAGGTTCCTCAGCTTGGAAAATGATTGACCATGTTGACTGTGAGTGTCATGTCAGTTTCTGTGTCAGGCCAGCTGAAAAGAACTGAAAGGTCTTGTTATCTCAGTTGTTCTCTCATTCTTCTCTCATTCATTCATTCATTCATTCGTTTGACAATATTAATTCATTCGTTCATTTGACAAATGTTTGCTTAACATGACTCTATCTAGGCTTAAATAAGGCACTTTCTGTATGCTGTTTAATCTTCAGGGCCATGTGACCAGTACTGAGTTTCTTTTGCATGTGAAGCTTAGAGAGTCTGAGCAGATTCCATGCAGCAGCAGCGGAGGTGGCAGGGCCAAGACTGAAGGCCTTTGTTTCCCAAACTTTACCTTGCCTAAGTATGAAGCCCCAGAGCACTGTACCAGGAGTCCCTGGAATCCTCATGCATCAAAGCACCTCAGGTGCCCCTGCACCAGGATCCACTGAGGAAAGGAGGCCCATCTATAAAGAGATGAGGACTCCTGGGTTAGTTCTTCAAGGTTGTCTGAGATGGTCTTCTCTGTGAATAGGGAAACCTGGGTCTGAGCTGCTAGCACCTGCTTTCTCTAGGTTCTCAATGCCCAATTAAAATACCTAGAGTTTGCTGAATGAACTCCAACACTATAGAAGAATAATAGAACTAAGTCTTATATTGCACACAGTTTCTGTGCCCCATGGTCAGCAGCACAGAGCCACAATCTGCATACAGGACATGAGCACATACATGTTTTTTTTTTCAGTCAGCTTGATATCTGGGTCTTCATCTCACCAAGTTTTGATGTCTTTTGAACAACACATGGTAGAATACTTCCTGGGGTTGGAGAATCCCATGAAAGAGACAGAGGACAAGATGTCTGGCTGGCAGTCTTGAGGTTTAAAAAGCATGATTTCTGACTAAGGTAGTGTTCTAAAAAATTAACTGCATGTATACAAAATTCCCATAACCAACTCAAAATCCAGTGTGTCTTGCTTTGTGAGATGCTGCCTTAAATGAAGTGTCTGGAATCTCGGTGCATATAAGGGTCAAGCAAATAGCATACATGTGCTGTTAAAGACAGCAGGCTTGAAGGACTGAGAAAAGTTGGCGTGAGTAGACAACTGGACCCCACATGGTAAAAAAAAAGATACTGGAACCTCGACTTTGAGCTCTAGCATCTGCCACTGTGTCAGCAGTGGGCTCTCACACAGGGAATGATGTACCCAGTGGGAATGATGCTTGTATAACATAGATGTTACACAAGCTGTAGATCAAACATACTGTCATTTTATATTTAAAATCTACTTCGGCATATGGACAATGTCTTTTTTTTCCTTTTCCTTTATTCATCTCTCACACACTCCATCCTGACTGCAGTTTCCCCTCCCTCCACTCCTCACAGTCTCTCCCCATACTTCCTGTCTCCCCCAGATCTACTCCTCTTCTGTCTCCCTTCAGAAAAGAGTAGTCCTCCAGTGATATCATCTGAACTCAGCATAACAAGATGCAGTAATACTTGGCACAAACCTTCATATCAAGGCTGGACAAGGCAACTCAGTATGTCAAAACGGCCCCAAGACCAAGCAAACGAGTCAGAGATGCCCCACTCTCACTGTTAGGAGTCCCACAAAAAGTCCAAGCTAAAAAACCATAATATATATGTAGAGGACCTAGAACCTAGCATAGAACCATGTAGAATCCATGTTTGCCGATTCAGTCTCACTGAGCCCCTATGAGTTCTGCTTAGTTGATTCTGGGAGCTATGTTCTACGTGTCAGAGAAGCTTCCTAACAGGAACAGATGCACAGACCCATAGCCAAACATAGACCATGGTGTTTTTTTTTTTAAATGTCTGTTCTTCACCATAGTGTTAACATTTTAAGTCAATATTTAAGTCCTGAGTGATTTTGCTTTAAAGGTTGTATTTTTAACTTTTCTTGGAAAACAAGTCAGAGAATCTGGCAGTAGTAGGCCAGTTTCCAGGCATGACAGAGATCTCCTTATTTTAACACGCATTCATTCAGCAAGAATTTTAAATGTTACATGTGCAGGTCTCTTGCTTTAAAATCATCTCAGGGCAGCCCTGTCTCATGGACCAAGAGCATCAACTTGCTAGAAATGCTAAGTCTCAGGTAACAATCAGGCCTCCTGGGGTAGATCCAGGTTTGAACAAGATTCCCAGGCATCTGTGTGCATACTGAATGTTGGGAACACTCACAGCAAACAGCCAGTGGCAGTATTGTTGGAAATGGAAAGCCTCTGGCTTCTTTTACTGAGTCAGAAACTTTTGCTGTTTTTCTGAGATGTGATCTCATGTAGCCCAGACTGGCTGAAAATTTGCTCTCTAGCTTAAGTTGGATGTAAAGTCTTATTCACCTCCCATGGCCCAAGATCACAAGTATGAGCTGCCATATTTGGCTTGATTCAGAATCTCTGAGTTTGGGTTATTATAATCTATATTTTCAATATGATTCCCAGTTCACAACCTGAGAGCAGACTCATCACTGAAACCACAAGGAAGCTAACACTGCTTCAGCTCCCTATTGAACCATCAGGGACCTAGCTCTGGGTGGGAAGATGAGGGATAAAGCTAGCCTTTTGGTGAGTGTGTGTGTGTGTGTGTGTGTGTGTGTGTGTGTGTGATATTTTATGTAGTGTTTCCTTCCAATAGCCCTTGGTAACTTGCAGACATTGAATTAAGTGTTAAAATGAAGAAGGCATTACTTTTAGGAAACAGCCTTTGCTGAAAGGCTTTGAGACACATTACACTATAACCCCATGGACATGTTGTGAGGCAAAGGCCACAAGTGTACAAACCTTGAGAGAAGTATGGCGGCAGGGAGGCACTCTGCTGAAAGCCAACGTTACTGTAGAAACAGATAAAAGAACAAGCTGTAAATTGGGTTAGGGTGATGGGACCCAAATGTGTAGTTGGGTTACAGAAGCCAGGCTGTAGATGCCTCTTGCTTTGTCATTGCTGACCTCCACACCCCCTGGCATCATGGAAGAGGGGCCAAGGAGGAAATTATCTGATATACTGGTGTCCCAAGATGAGCTAACTCTAATAAGTTTCACGAGCCAAAGGCAAACAATAAACATAAAGCTTGTGAACTAAATGCATAAATTACTTATTAAATGGGGCTGTGGTTTGGGGCCTTTGAGTCTATAAAATGGACAAGAAGGAGGACACTCTGATGGGCATGCTTGGGAATGTGAATCCCCAGGAGTTGCTGGTCTGCAGAGAGAACGCGTGAGTCAGGAAGGAGGAAGAAACCACCAGGTACTGCTGCATCAGAGTAACAACATTTGCAAGGATGGGAAAGGAAATCTACAGAAACCCTGGAATGCTACCTGTTCCCTCTATGCTAAGCACTAACACCAACCATTAGCCCAAACAGTACAAGTCTGCTCTGCACACCTAATCTTGTTAACATTTTTCAGGAATGACAGACAGACAGGGTTAGAGCCGTGTGTGGGATAACACGAATTATTGGACAAAGCAGTAGAGAAAACCAGAGGGAGAAGTGAATGGAAAAAAATTGAAGTCATGGAGACCCTGAGCAAAGGGAAGACTTTAGGAATTTCCCCAGAGAGTTGTCAGGGGTGGACAGGTCATGCCATTGGTTCTGCTTTCTACAATCTGCAGGGTGAGCAGTTGGCTTATTTTGAATACTAAAGCAGTTGGTGGGCCAGTGGGCCAGGGTGCTGGGGAGCAGCTAAAGTGGCCTATTGGTTCTCCTGGGTAGGGTAGGGATGATCTGGATGTTTCTTGTTATTCTAGCCATGGCTTTGCTTCTGATTCTGGTCTTATTATGATTGAGAAATCATCATCATCATCATCATCATCATCCTTCTGAGGACAGCCCTGAGCATGGTTGCTTGGCCTCCAACAGGGGCAAGGCACATTCTCTGTTTCCCCATCTAAGATGGAAGACGGACTCCAAGAACTACAGTTAACTTGGTTTCTAAATGTTGTTTGTTTGAAATGAGCAACTGAAAACGTCCTCCATGAGTCCATTCCCTGGGACAACCGTGGAACAAGTCAGCTCCCACTCCCCTCAAACTCACAAACTCAGAGAACAGCCAGTCGCTCAGGTTGTCTGCCAGTTTCATTTTGCTTGTTCCCTTAGACAGCTCTGCACAACAGCTCATGTCCCTCAAGCTGCCTGGCATTTGCCATAGCTCAGCTGCACTGGTTGGCTGTAACTGTTAGCTTGACACAACCTAGGGTCTCCTGGGAAGACAGTCTCAACTGAAGAATTATCTAGAGCACACTGGCCTGTGGGTGGATCTGTGGGGAATTGCCTTGCTGGTTACTTGGGGTAGGAGGATTCAGCCCACTGTAAGTATACACTTTCTGGGCCAGGACCTGAACTGTATATGAATAAACAAAGCCAGCCGGCAAAAACAAAAGCAAGCAGGCAGTATGGATGCACTCATTTCTCTGTCCTCTGGACTGTGAGTATGATGTGACTAACTATTTGAGTTCATGCATCGGCTTTCCTGACGTGTTGGACTATAACAGTGGTTCTCAACCTTATTAATATTGCAACCCTTTAATACAGTTCCGCATGATGTGATGACCAGCAACTATAAAATTATCTCACTACTATTTCAAAAGTGTAATTTCACTACTCTTATGAATCATAATGTAAATATCTGATATTCAGGATAGCTGATATGTGAACCCCCCACCCCCAAAGAGGTGGAGACCCAAAGGTTGAGAAGCACTGGATAGAACCTTAAATTGTAAAAGAAAACAAAGCCTTCCTCCCCTGCATTTCTGTCCACCAGAGTTCTTGTAACAGAGACAGACATGAAGCTAGACACAAGCCACCAGGTGCTATGCTTAGCTAGAGCTGAGTGGCATAGCCACCAACCTTTCTGAGAAGGCTCCCGGCATGTTAGGCAACGGGAATGTGTTCTTGGGGCTTGGCTTGGCAGATCTCGAAGGGAATGTGTTGGAGCTCATAGAAGGTAGTGATGGCTGAGGCAAAGGTCTCTGATGCACTGTGAGGGGAGAGAAAAAATGAGTAGTCAGAATTCAAATCCAGAGACATTTAGAGTACTTCCCCAACTTAAACTAAACCCAGATGATATGACGGGAGAGACAAAAATCCAAAAGATCATGTTTAATTAGCAAATGGTAGGAAGATAACCTACTTCATGGTTTTTCTAGATAATTTGCCACCTTGGAATCACTTGAAATTTCTATTGTTCTGAATAGTGAATTTTTTTTCCACAGTGAAAGCAAGACAGTTTACTTTTGTTTCAGCAATGAATAGTGAAATTTTAATTTTATTTTTGAAGTGTTCATTTGGCAGAAAATCGTTAATGGGAAACCTTATAAATTTTAGAGATTATTTACAACTTTTATTTTGTTTTTCTTAAAGCCAAAACCATATGCTATGTTGTTCATTTGCAGTTCATCCAATTCTGTATCTACAATGTTAGAGGGTATAAATATGAGAAAAATGTCTATCAAAACATATATGCACTTTTCTGTGCAGTTAGGTATTCTGATTTATCATATATAAACTTAAGTTCTCCTTGGTAAACCAACCAAGAAATTCCTTTTACTAAAGCCATGAGGTGTAGCAATTGGTATATGTCTGTTTATGTTAATTGACATGTGAGGTTCCATACTCAATAATTCTATTTAAATAGAAGGTCAGAAAAGTGAGGGACTGGGAGCTTTAAGAATGAGAATGGGTCATAAGAAAGATCTGTAGACATACCATCATCTTCATCCTGCAAAGGAAAAATAATGAAATATATTAACTTAGCATCACAGTCCCATTTCTAATTAGTCATTCCTCAGTCAAAAACTGTGTCTGGTTCTTTCTTTAACGGTTATAGCTTTTCATAATAGATACATTGTGGAGAATTTTCTAGAGCTTTCCTCTCTTCATAATCTAGCTAGAACGTGCTAAGTGGCTTACGGTTTTTCTAACATTCATAATCATCCAAAGACATCCCAGCCTGAGATTCTCCTCAAATGCCCAGCTTGACAGAGGTTCTGAGGCTCCTGAAGGACTCAGATGTAACAACATTTACAATTGTCATGATGTTTCCAAGAGACTGATATTTCAGTAATTTTCTCTGGTAGCTCTAAGGATAGAATGACTACCCAGTGCAATACAAATAGTACTCGTGCTTCAGAGCATTTGCCGTGGAGAGCAGGAAAAGGTTCACACCCCCGAACCTGCCTGACCCAAACCTCCAGCCTCTTCCTGCCTCTCCTTTGCAGTATTCGCCCCTCATGTATTCATAGTACCCTGTTATTAAGTACTGTTACTAAGTACTGCTTTATAAAGCTTTCTGCCATCAGTTCTACACCAGTCAGAATCACTCATCTCAAAAGACTGAGAGTCTTAACAAAGAGCCACACAAATAAACAGAGTGCCACTGCTCTCCTGTTCCAAGGCCATGTCCTTTCTGGCTCAGGAAATCACAACCCTAGATTCTCAGGCGGAGAATCAGTCCAACAGAGACTGGGTGCCTCAGGGATGTGATGTCAGCCTCAGTGTCCATCTTTCACTCTGTTCCTATGTCTCCGTAGCAAGTTGCTGCCCTGATGGCTTGGGACCGCTCATAGCCATCTCCTCCCTCTTCCTAAGACATTTCTGGGACTGGAATGGAAGTGGAGCTACCCTAGTCCGTGTTCTCTGCATCATTCAAGGACTTTACAGCTCTCATTGCTCTTAAGGAGTCACCCTTGGCTCTGATCCACAGAACTCCTTGTCTTCAATTAGCCCACAGACACCATTCCACGATGGTGTGCAGTTATGCCTGTGAGATGGTGGGGTATCTATCTCCATAATATTTCAACAATACAGCACCTAACAAAGACCTACAGACCTATCTCCATAGTATTTCAACAAATACATCATCTAATATAGTGCAACAGAAATACCAGCCATTGATGGCCAAACATCTGATCAGAGGAAGGCGTCTGTGGTGGCCATCAATAAAAGCAAATGCGGGGACCAGCAAGATGGCCAAATGAGCAAAAGGCACATGTCACACAGAGCCTGACGACAATTCGAATCCACATAAGGGTAGAAAGAGAAATCCAATTGCACCAAATTGTCCTCTGGCCTCCATATACAGGCTGTGGCATATGTGCACACGACCCACCCTATGTAGAGATGTAATACTAAGAATAATAAATTTTAAAATACTTTAAAAGATCACAGAATACAGAGAATCCCAGACAGACCTATATTCAGATGGAAGGTATGTGAATTTACCGCCCCTATGACTTTGAGCCTATTATCACTCTGAGCCTTAGTTTCTCACATTAAGAGAGAGCGATATTATACATAGTCACTAAAATCAAATCATCTTCCTGACCCTTTCCTCTATTCCTGATCCTCACTCTCCTTGTTAATTACCCTTGGGGATGAGGCTGCAAGAAGCCAGCTACCCTGGACCTCTCAGAGGGCCAGGGGCTAGGCAATTCAGCCTGATGAACTCTGAGTAACAAGATGCAGAGGCTGGCATTTAACAGACCCTTTGTAGGTCTTGCTCTCATTACCTGACTTCAGTCGAGGGCAAAGCAGATGCAGTCCCACCTCCCCAGAGCCTACACTGGCTGTCCCCATGCCAAGCATTTATTAAATGACATTTCACACTTACATTGTCCCTTCTGTCTGGTCCCCTTCCATGCCTGAAATGAATTAGAGCAGAGACGTGAAGATCTTGAGTTTCAAAGAGCCAACCCCAGAATATAATTTCAGTAAATCGCATAAGGAGAAATAAAACCTACTGAGCCGTGGCCAAAGGGGAAGTTACGAATGCCAGCAGAAATGCTGAGGATGGGAGAGAAGGGAAATGTGGCCACTGGATGCCCTGTTATCATTGCGAGCTGAGCTAGGCAAACCTTTGTTCTACAGAGCTACTGTAGCAAATAATTGCACAATTATACACATATATACGTTTAGTCAGCTTTTAGGAGCTATTAAATTTCACTGAGTAGATGTTTTTCCAAGCAAATAAAAACATTTTCAGTAATATTCTTCTTTGCTGAGGTTTTAAACCAGCCACCACAGGACCTGCCCTTCAAGTAATAAGAAAACAGTTGGCAAAGGTCCCTGCTCTGGGCTTTTCCAATAGAGCCTTGGTGTTATTGGCACAGATGGACAGGCCAGTCTAACAGCTTTGACAATAGCTGTCTAAGGGCTGAAGAGGCATCTGTACTTCCTGGGAGAGAGGGAAAGAGAGGAGGTAGAGAGGGAGGGGAGGAGAGGGAGTAAGAGAGAGATGGGGAAAATAGGAGGAAGAGAGGGCAGGAGGGAGGCAAAGATGGATGGGTGGATAGAAGGAGGCAAGGATGGATGGGTAGATGGATGGAGGGAGGGAGAGAGTGAGGAAGGAAGAAGGATTTGTTGGGTAGCTAATGTCAGATGTTTTTCATGTTGTTCATCAGCTCTTGCCCTGTTTTGTTGAAAATTTTGATATTTTGGCCATTACGGTTGTTTTTCATGAATTTGGTTTTGTTAAATAATCCATTAAAATGTTATAAAAGTCAATGACTGGGGATTTTCTTGGCACACCGTGGGCCTTAGTCTTTACCGAATCCTCACAACAGCTAAGCCTTGGCAATGGTTGTGAATCTTCATAGACAGAAGAGATAATGAAACTCACTGTTCCCTCTCCAAGTAGCCGGGCTGGCCCAGAACCCGAGTACACTTGTGTCATTTGGTAAATAGACCATACATGATTTTATAGCGGAAGTAAAGCTGCTTGGGCAGAGCTCAGTCTCCTGTGGTTGTAAAAACGGTTGAGCAATAAGAAAGCAGCTAATGCAGGCCTAGAAGCAGCCCTCCCCTTCTCCTCTGCCATCCTTCCTCTCTGTTCTCTTATAAAATAAAGCAGGAGGTACGGCTCCTGTGTGCTGTTCAGGCTTCAGTCTGACAAGGTAGGGAAAGTCCAACAAAAACCAGGGAGACTGGCTTCAGACAAGGCCTCCCACAACGACCACGCTGCACTTCCCACTAAGTGCTTCTACTCGCCCCCTCCTCAGGTAGATTCCCATTCTCTTCACAGACCTCCGTGGTTCTCATCCAACCAAGGAAAGGAGCCCTCGACCTCCCAAGTACTGGAATTCAAAGGCCCGGCTCAGGCAGCACAGGACAGTCACCTTGGAACTGGTGGCTTCCTTGCTGTCAGGGGTCCGATTCTTTCATTTCTTTCGTGTCTGTCCATGGTTGGTGGCAAAGGAGGCTTTTGTATCTTGGGTAAATGCTCCCTGAGTGGGAAGAGAAAGGATTTATAAAAAGCCACTCTAATTGGGCAGAGGTCTACAGCAGAACTCTGGAGCTTGATAGAGTTCGACAGAGGCTTACCTTCCCAGTGGGGCCGAGGGCTGTAAGACATTAAGGAAGACATGGGTGGATCAGGTACTTTCCAAAGAGTCAGGACAAGATAAAAAAAAATCAAAAGAAAAAAAACTAAAATCATAAACAAACCAGAAAAGCAGCCTACCTTATCAGAAAATGTTGGTTTCTTTCCTGTAACCAAGAACAAGCAGAACATTAAATTTGGGACAGGCATGAAGTTAGGGTTGAAGAACAGATTCTGATGAAAACTGTGTCTGGGTCTCCAGGGGCAGACTGACTTTAACCAGGAGCTTCAAATCTGAAGGGTCTTTTGAGGAACACCTGATTTCATAGGCTTAAAACTACCACCTGGCTTGCGAAAATCTCATAGCTGTGCACATGCTAATGTCATTGTAAGGTCTGAGCTTCTTTACAACATGTGGCTTAGGGTAGTTGAGCATCAAATGGGTGAATGTCTTCTTGAGATTCTATGTCTCTTTCCTTGGCTTAAGCATCTGCTCTCTGGCTTATTTTGACTTTTGAAGTAAACCAGTGTGTCATGAAGGTGTAATTTTCCTCCAAATCTTGTGGTCCACTTGATATGATATAGACTTCCATTTGGTTTCTGGAAAAATGATTAACTCGGGAACAAGGTCTTTAAGAGATTGTCTGGGTGTGCCAAAACCACTTTAGTGGTGGTGGAGGTGTTTGTGGTGGTGGTAGTCAAGGGGATGGTAGTGGTCGAGGTAATGGTGTTGGTGGTCATGGTTGTGGTACTGGTCATCTTGGTGGTGGTGGTCATGGTTGTGGTCATCGTGGTAGCAATGGTGATA